TGAACGAATCTATAGGAACTTAATCTGAACTTCACATTTTGCAGCACTTTAACAGATCTCAGATACAAGCTGTGAGAACAAACACATTGCTCAAGGGCTAGGTATTGTCTTTCAGTCAGTAAGGGGATATTGGTACTGTGGACTGATTCATATTGACTTTGACTGGCATGATACACTAAGTGAACATTCAAAAGTGACTGGGACATGTTCTCAGGGAACTTACTCAAGCGCATAAGGCAAGAAAAAAAATAGAGAATGATACAGTAAGCTTAAACAGGAAGAAATTACTTAACTAATCTGCATAAGTAAATAAAAATTGACAGGTCACACAGTAAGCAAGGAAAACTCACACTCAAACTGAATAAGCAACACTTTGAAAATCAAGAGAACTTGTACTTTACTCAAATCTAATTTACTCAAATTTACTGTAAAATGAGTTAATGGCACAGTGAGTTGTCTTTACTCTCAATGCAATAGGGAAATTCAACAATAAAATGATGAATCAATCAAAAATTTTAAAATGGACTCAATAAATCTTGTGCAAAATTAAAACAAACTGGGAAAACAATTCACTAAAAATAAAATAAAATGGCACACAAAGAATAAAATATTATGCACAGAACAGAGCATAAGAAACTGCACTGAAATAAACTGTAGCAATATTGCAAATAACAATTACTAATCAAAAGTACTGCACAACACTACACAAAATTTCTGAAAGAAAAATTTTAATGGCAACACAATGTTTACACAAGAATTATTGCAAAGTGAGTCAATGTGCAATGATAAAAAAATTACACACACAAGAAAATACATTTTACAAGAAAAGAAAATATATCAAGGAATGAACTGAGTGACCACTTTAACTCTTAATTGCAGCTTAAGCAACACTTACTGAACAAACAAAAGAATGATTTCCTCTAAAAGAAGAACTTAAAAATTGCACTAAGAGTGAATTTGTTCAATGAATTAAAAATTATAGATGCAAAAGCACAGAACAAAAGGGTTTGAACACTTACAGTGATGCAGAACACAACACATCAATATAAACACAATACTAGAATTTTCTTGCAATGAAACTTGATGTGTGAAAAATTTGTAAAATAATTGTCTTGCTTGCACAAAACAATGGCACTGTTGTCTGTGGAGATAAGACAAATTAGACACTGGCTAAATGAAAAGAATATGAACACAAGAATGTTCAACACACAGAGGAAAATAAAATGGCAAATGAGTGAAAACAAAAACAGGAATACACAAATGCTGGGATAAAAAAAATATAACAGACAACACTGAGTTGTGATGCAGAATATGTGGTAATAAATTGCTGAATTACTTCACTGCAATACTGTGAACACAAGGTAACTGTGAAATTTAACACAAATTCTATACTGCTTATATGTTGCACGAAAGTTAACACTGAATTAATTAAGAAGAGAAAAAAAATATTGCAAACACCAAGTCTAATCAAGAGTTACTGAATGTCACTAAGATATCACTGGAAACACAAAAGAGAAATGTCTCAACACTTGCAAATGTCTCTATGAAAAAAAAAATTATTGCTGTAGCGATGTGTTGGATGAGGATGGTGGTCGAGGATGGTAGTGAAGGGTAGAGGAGACTGGTTGCTGACTGCTTTCGCTGCTACTCCACACGTGATCGAGGAATTTTGAACTTAAATCGACGATGGATCCACACAGGAGGCTTTTAACGATGGTGCCACTGACGAAAAAACATACTCTAGCTCTTGACCCCCTATGTGGTCGTTAAAATATGGTGCTAGAACCTGTAATAAGGGTACAAAACAGTGGTAGTGGGTGGGTGGGGGGTGGCTGAGGCAGCTGAGGCAGGGTGGTGGTTGAGAGACCGCGTGGTGACTAGGCCTATGGGATAAACGGCATAAGCCTCACTGGGGACACGCTCACATATTCTAAGCTGGGCTGGCTTAAAACAAACCCACAAGGATGATAAAACACACAGAATGGCTAGAACTTGAAGCACAAAGTGATGAAGAAGACTGTACCCACGTGGTTTGCTTGAGTACTGGGTTAATCACCTCGGTTAGTCACCTGGGTTAGTTGCTGGCTGGCTTATCTTAACCCTTCACACAGAATGGCTTGATAACTTCTAACGATGAGCACAGCAGGGGTGGAAAGCTGGCTTGGCAGGCATGGCTGGAATGGTGTAAGGCTAGGCTGGCTGACTCCCCCACCACAGACTGTCGTGCTGGTTTGGCTTACTTTGCAAACTTGGGTCAACCCTTTGGGAGTGATGCAAATAAGCAGATAAATACTAATACAAGGAGACTGACCAGCGAATAATGTAGAGAGCTGGTAGACGCTTGGTCGGGGTAGCTGGCTGGCTAGGTCGAGCGTTAACCTTCTCGGCAGGCCTTGCGTCAGAAGATGGCGACCGGCTCAGTAGGAATTTATCTCCAGAAATCGCTGTAATCGTCAGATTTACAGGCCCTCCACTGTCACCAATTTGTCGTGGGGGTTTGGTAGGAGATAAGATGGTTGCAGGTAAACACGCTTGTTGGATGGTAACGATATATATTGTCAGACTGTGGATGGGAGCCCAGGCCTGCCTGCTTGCCTTCATATGTCTAAACGCGGAGTGAGGACAAAGCAGAGCGACCCACTCACTCATGCTGCATCCCGTGACGTCATACAGTCACAGGCCTAGGGATCTTCTATATAAAGCATATGGATGGGGCTATAATGCTCAGTTAATCTATACAACACATGTAAGCGGATTCAGCAACTATTCTGACAACATTGTTCACTACCACTAGGCATAATATACAGTGTAACATTGTTCACTACCACTTAGTATAATATACAGTGTAACATTGTTCACTACCACTTAGTATAATATACAGTGTAACATTGTTCACTACCACTTAGTTTAATATGCAGTGTAACATTGTTCACTACCACTTAGTTTAATATGCAGTGTAACATTGTTCACTACCACTTAGTATAATATACAGTGTAACATTGTTCACTACCACTTAGTTTAATATGCAGTGTAACATTGTTCACTACCACTTAGTTTAATATGCAGTGTAACATTGTTCACTACCACTTAGTATAATATACAGTGTAACATTGTTCACTACCACTTGGTATAATATACAGTGTAACATTGTTCACTACCACTTGGTATAATATACAGTGTAACATTGTTCACTACCACTTGGTATAATATACAGTGTAACATTGTTCACTACCACTTAGTATAATATACAGTGTAACATTGTTCACTACCACTTAGTATAATATACAGTGTAACATTGTTCATTACCACTTAGTATAATATAGAGTAACATTTCACTACCACTTAGTATAATACAGTGTAACATTGTTCACTACCACTTAGTATAATTATACAGTGTAACATTGTTCATTACCACTTAGTATAATATACAGAGTAACATTGTTCACTACCACTTAGTATAATATACAGTGTAACATTGTTCACTACCACTTAGTTAATATACAGTGTAACATGTTCACTACCACTTGGTATAATATACAGTGTAACATTGTTCACTACCACTTGGTATAATATACAGTGTAACATTGTTCACTACCACTTGGTATAATATACAGTGTAACATTGTTCACTACCACTTAGTATAATATACAGTGTAACATTGTTCACTACCACTTGGTGTAATATACAGAGTAACATTGTTCACTACCACTTAGTATAATATACAGAGTAACATTGTTCACTACCACTTGGTGTAATATACAGTGTAACATTGTTCACTACCACTTGGTGTAATATACAGAGTAACATTGTTCACTACCACTTGGTGTAATATACAGAGTAACATTGTTCACTACCACTTAGTATAATATACAGTGTAACATTGTTCACTACCACTTGGTGTAATATACAGTGTAACATTGTTCACTACCACTTGGTGTAATATACAGAGTAACATTGTTCACTACCACTTGGTGTAATATACAGTGTAACATTGTTCACTACCACTTGGTGTAATATACAGAGTAACATTGTTCACTACCACTTAGTATAATATACAGTGTAACATTGTTCACTACCACTTGGTGTAATATACAGTGTAACATTGTTCACTACCACTTAGTATAATATACAGTGTAACATTGTTCACTACCACTTAGTATAATATACAGTGTAACATTGTTCACTACCACTTATGTATAATATACAGTGTAACATTGTTCACTACCACTTAGTATAATATACAGTGTAACATTGTTCACTACCACTTAGTATAATATACAGTGTAACATTGTTCACTACCACTTAGTATAATATACAGTGTAACATTGTTCACTACCACTTAGTATAATATACAGTGTAACATTGTTCACTACCACTTGGTGTAATATACAGAGTAACATTGTTCACTACCACTTAGTATAATATACAGAGTAACATTGTTCACTACCACTTGGTGTAATATACAGAGTAACATTGTTCACTACCACTTAGTATAATATACAGTGTAACATTGTTCACTACCACTTAGTATAATATACAGAGTAACATTGTTCACTACCACTTAGTATAATATACAGAGTAACATTGTTCACTACCACTTGGTGTAATATACAGAGTAACATTGTTCACTACCACTTAGTATAATATACAGAGTAACATTGTTCACTACCACTTGGTGTAATATACAGAGTAACATTGTTCACTTACCACTTAGTATAATATACAGTTGTAACATTGTTCACTACCACTTAGTATAATATACAGTGTAACATTGTTCACTACCACTTGGTAAATATACAGTGTAACATTGTTCACTACCACTTAGTATAATATACAGTGTAACATTGTTCACTACCACTTAGTATAATATACAGTGTAACATTGTTCACTACCACTTAGTATAATATACAGTGTAACATTGTTCACTACCACTTGGTGTAATATACAGAGTAGGTAGAGAATCAGTAAGAGGTGTTCATTAGTGTATTATCCTGGTACAGAAGTCACCTAGAGTGGTTCACTGGTTGTCTTACTGGTGAAGGAGTGGAGCTTCTACGTCAATGTCACCAGCTGAGGTGGCTCCACCTGGCTGTGGTGAAAGACCACTTGGATGGCTGTCTTCTGCAAAAGCTGCATGCCACTGTCATGTCTACTTTACATCAACTTAAGTACCTCAGTGAGTGTTACATTGTGTTCTGTGTCTTACTGTGTGATGCTGCTAATTGTGTTCTGTGTCTTACTGTGTTCTGTGTCTTACTGTGTGTGTTAGTGCTAGTTGTATTCTGTGTCTTACTGTGATGATGCTAGTTGTGTTCTGTGTCTTACTGTGTGTGGTGGTGCTAGTTGTGTACTGTGTCTTACTGTGTGTGATTGTGCTAGTTGCATTCTGTGTCTTACTGTGTGTGATGGAGCTAGTTGTGTACTGTGTCTTGCTGTGTGTGATGGTGCTAGATGTGTACTGTGTCTTACTGTGTGTGATGGTGCTAGTTGTGTACTGTGTCTTACTGTGTGTGATGATGCTAGTTGTGTATTGTGTCTTACTGTGTGTGATGGTGCTAGTTGCGTACTGTGTCTTACTGTGTGTGATGGAGCTAGTTGTGTACTGTGTCTTGCTGTGTGTGATGGTGCTAGATGTGTACTGTGTCTTACTGTGTGTGATGGTGCTAGTTGTGTACTGTGTCTTACTGTGTGTGATGATGCTAGTTGTGTATTGTGTCTTACTGTGTGTGATGGTGCTAGTTGCGTACTGTGTCTTACTGTGTGTGATGGTGCTAGTTGCGTCCTGTGTCTTACTGTGTGTGATGGAGCTAGTTGTGTACTGTGTCTTACTGTGTGTGATGATGCTAGTTGTGTACTGTGTCTTACTGTGCGTGATGGTGCTAGTTGTGTACTGTGTCTTACTGTGTGTGATGATGCTAGTTGTGTACTGTGTCTTACTGTGCGTGAAGATGCTAGCTGTGTACAGTGTCTTACTGTGTGTGATGATGCTAGTTGTGTACTGTGTCTTATTGTGTGTGGTGATGCCAGTTGTGTACTGAGTCTTAATGTGTGTAATGGGGCTAGTTTTGTATTGTACTCACCTAATTGTGGATGCAGGGATCGAGACTCAGCTCCTGGCCCCTCCTCTTCGCTGATCGCTACTAGGTCCTCTCTCTCTGCTTCCTGAGCTTTGTCATACCTCGTCTTAAAACTATGTATGGTTCCTGCCTCCACTACGTCACTTGCTAGGCTATTCCACTTCCTGACGACTCTATGACTGAAGAAATACTTCCCAACATCCCCGTGACTCGTCTGAGTCTTCAGCTTCCAATTGTGACCCCTTGTTTCTGTGTCCCCTCTCTGGAACATCCTGTCTCTGTCCACCTTGTCTATTCCCTGCAGTATCTTGTATGTCGTTATTATGTCTCCCCTGACCGTTCTGACCTCCATTGTCGTCAGTCCGATTTCCCTCAACTTTTCATCATACGACATTCCCCTGAGCTCTGGAACAAGCCTTGCTGCAAACCTTTGTACTTTCTCTAACTTCTTGACGTGCTTGACCAGGTGTGGGTTCCAGTCTGGTGCTGCATACTCCAGTACGGGGCCTAACGTACACAGTGTACAGTGTCTTGAACGATTCCTTTTTAAGGTATCTGAATGCTATTCTCAGGTTTGCCAGGCGCCCGTATGCTGCAGCAGTTATCTGGATGATGTGTGCCTCTGGTGACATGCTCGGTGTTATGGTCACCCCAAGATCTTTCTCCATGAGTGAGGTCTGTAGTCTTTGTCCATCTAGTCTATACTCTGTCTGCAGTCTTCTTTGCCCTTTCCCAGTCTTCATGACTTTGCATTTGGCAGGGCTGAACTCGAGAAGCCAGTTTCTGGACCACGTGTCCAGCCTGTCCAGGTCTCTTTGCAGTCCTGCCTGATCCTCATCCAATTTAATTCTTCTCATCAACTTCACATCATCTGCGAATAGGGACACTTCAGAGTCTATTCCTTCCATCATGTCATTCACATATATCAAAAATAGCACTGGTCCTAGGACTGACCCCTGTGGAACCCCAATCATCACAGGCGCCCACTGTTATGCCTCTTCACGTACCATGACTCGTTGTTGCCTCCCTGTCAGGTATTCTCTGATCCACTGAAGTGCCCTCTCTGTTATATGCGACTGATCCTCCAAGTTCTGCACTAATCTCTTGTGAGGAACTGTGTCGAAGGTCTTACTGCAGTCCAAGAAAATGCAATCGACCCACTCTCTCTCTCGTGTATTACTTCTGTTACCTTTTCATAAAACTCCAGAAGGTTTGTGACACAGGATTTGCCTTCCATGAATCCATGCTGGTTGTCATTAATAATCTTGTTCCATTCCAGGTGTTCCACCACTCTCCTCCTGATAATCTTCTCCATGACTTTGAATACTATACATGTCAGAGACACTGGTCTGTAGTTTAGTGCCTCGTTTCTGTCTCCTTTCTTAAAAATGGGAACTACAATTGCTGTCTTCCATATCTCAGGTAGTTGCCCAGTTTCAAGGTATGCGTTGAAGATTGTGGTTAGAGGCATACATCTCTGCTCCTTGTCTAAGGACTCACGGGGAGATGTCCGGTCCCATCGCCTTTGAGGTATCAAGGTCACTTAGCAGCTTCTGCACCTCCTCCTCCGTTGCTCGTATGTCATCCAACACTTGATGGTATATTCCCTCTTGATGTTCCTCTCTGTGCTGTCTTCCCAGAACCCTTCCTGTCTCTACTGTAAAAACTTCCTTAAATCCCCTGTATAGCTCCTTACATCACTCTGATCGTTTCTCGTGAGTTCTCCACCTTCTGTCCTCAGTCTGATCACCTGGTCTTTGACTGCTGTCTTCCTCCTGATGTGGCTATTCAACAGTTTTGGGTCAGTCTTGACTTTTGATGCTATGTTATTTTCATACTGTTGCTGGGCCTCCCTCCTTACCTGTGCATACTTGTTCCTGGCTCTGCGACTAATCTCCCTATTTTCATGTGTTCCATGTCTTCTGTACTTTTTCCATTCTCTATTGCACTTAGTTTTTGCCTCCTTACACTGTCGAGTAAACCAGGGGCTCGTTCTGGTCTTCCCATTGTTTCCGTTGCCTTTAGGAATAAACCTTTCCTCTGTCTCCTTGCATTTTGTTGTTACATATTCCATCATTTCGCTTACTGGCTTTCTTACCAGTTCTGTCCCACTGAACCTCCAGCAGGAAGTTCCTTAAACCTATGTAGTCCCCTCTTTTATAGTCTAGGTCTTCCCATTCAACTCCTGTTACTCTCTCCACTTGTAACTCTACTATGTAATCAAAGCACAGAACCACGTGGTCACTAGCTCCTAGGGAACTCTCACATGTGATATCCCCAATGTCTGAACTGCCCAGGGTGAACACAAGGTCCAGTCTTGCTGTTTCATCTTCCCCTCTCACTCTGGTAGTGTCCTTAACATGTTGGTGCATGAGGTTTTCCAGCACCACATCCAACATCTTGGCTCTCCATGTTTCAGGACCTCCATGTGGCACAAGGTTTTCTCAGTCAATCTCCCTATGGTTGAAATCCCCCATAACCAGCAACTTTGCTCTGTTCGAGTGAGCTCTTCTTGCCACCTCAGCAAGTGAGTCCACCATTGCTCTGTTGCTCTCTTCATATTCCTCGCTTGACCTCCTGCAGTTCTGTAGTGGATTATACATCACTGCAATGACTACCTTTGGTTCCCCAGACTGAAGTGTACCTTCTATGTAGTCCCTTTCTCCAGTCTCGTATATGCCTCTCATTTTCTCGAATTTCCATCGGTTTTTCATGCGCAGTGCAACTCCTCCCCCTTTGCCCCTTCTATCTTTCCTCATGATCTGATATCCTGGTGGGAAGATTGCATCTAGTATTGTCTCAGTGAGTTTCGTTTTTGTAACTGCTATGATGTCTGGGGACTTCTCATTGATTCTTTCTTGCCACTCCTCATATTTATTTGTTATCCATCCGCATTTGTGTACCAAACCTTCAACTTCTGTTCTAAAACTGAAACTGTGGTCCTGGGGGAATATTGGGGTTGGGAGAGCAGAAACCCTGGTGTGGGGCCTGTGGGGTTGCAGTGGGGGTGGAGGAAGAGTTCCTATAGGGGGTTGCTGTAGGGGTAGGGTTCGTGGTATGGGGAGTGGGGACAGCAGGATCAGTGTGTGATTGTTGGCTTAGATTGTTCTGTTGCTTTGGGGTGTCGTGGTTGGAGTCCTTCTGCGGGTGTTTCTGGGGGGGTGTGCTTGCCCTTCCACCTGTGCCTGGGTTAAATTTGCTCTTCTTTGTCATTTCCTCACATTCCTCCTTTTGTTTTTGCACTCTTTCAGCATCATCCTTTCCTTTTGTATTCTGTCTCGATCGAGGTGCACACTGTTATTCCAGTTTGTCTCCCAGCCGTGCTTTCTCCTGCTGGATCATGGTTCGAGTTGATTCTGCCTTGAAAATTACTTTGAGAGGCCGTTTCCTTCTCTTTGTGAACCACCCAATTCTCCGAAAATTTACCACCTGGGTCATGTCTCCCTCGCCTATCACCTTCATGATACCTTCAGTAGCTTTTTTCTCTACCTGTTTTCTTTCATCATAGGTTTCCCCTTCAGCTTCCTGGACCCCATAGACAAAAATTGATCTCTCCCTTTCTTCCTCACACTGTGTCTCCCATTGTGTCCTCTGAAGTGTTTTAGTTCTTTCCCATTGAGTGTTCCTTCCTGAAATCCCTTCCCTAGCTGTGGCCCCTATGCTCATTGGTTTGTCTTTCCTGCTCACCTGTTCCTGGCCACCACAAGTGTCTGGAAGAGTCCCTACATATGTCCTAGTTCCTTCAATGTCTTCCAATCTCTCATACAGTCCTGGTGTGCTCCCTGTCTTTGTTTTGGCCCCGTGCGGGTTTTACAGGACCTTTCCATACACTTTTGCTTCGTTGCTCCTTCCAGACCCTTTATCTGTGTTTTATGTAGATATTCCTTATGCTACAACTGTATTATCTTTTGCTCTAGGCAATTTCAGATTTCTCAGCTCCTCTTCTATGCTCTGTATCTTGTCTTCTGCTACTGTGGCATGTTGCTCCCACATTCTGCTCTGTGCAGCTAACCTCTCCTCCATCTTCCTTGCAAGATCATCTTGCTTCCTTCCCAAGTCTTCCTCACTTTTTCTGAGCTCTGCCTCCTAATACTCCCTC